CTTTCCTAACCCTCAGCTAGCCAGCTCGGCATTGCTATCCTACGCTTTGCCCTGTGTGAGTGAGCGGAGGCTTTCCATTGAGCACCCCACCACTACACTGCCCTACCAAGCCGTGGCCACTCACGCGTCCTCGCGGTGCACGTTCCGTTGTGCGTTTGGTGGCCGTCTATCTGTTGACTTTGACTTGGACTTTGCCGTTTCGGTAATATATTGCTCGAACCTCCTGTCGTTCGTCAATGCTGCAAATTCCGTTAGCAGTATCGATATATCTTTGCTGAGCTGTTTGGCTGGCTCACAAGAGTATTCTATCGACTCCAGCTTCTTCCACCCAACAAGAATTTCGTAGTCTTGCTTGTCCTCATTCCATCGAGTATCGTTGAGTTTTTCCACTTACAGTACTACCTATTCCTTGGGCTGCAATATGATCGCGTATTTCCTCGCTCACAAAAAGCAATTTATGAGCGTAAAATTTTAAGCCGTGACGGGTGAACATCCGTCTCCTCCCAAAAAAGATGTTGTTCCGCATAAATGACTTGGTAGGGCCCCATCCATGTGACGAGTAGTTTGGCATGGTGTTTTTGGTCTACTCTAGACCGCAACACGTAGTCGCCTACATCGAAGTTAGGTCGGCGGGCGTACTTCTGCATTTGTTGGTTTCGCACAGTCTGTCGTGCGCATTCACTTATCATTGACTTGAGTAGTTTATGGATGCTACTTCGGAAATTGTTTTATCAAGTCTCAATAGCTTCTGGCTTCTCTGGTAGTTCCAAGGTCTCCGTTAGCTTCACGTTCATGCATAGTGTTAGCGATGATGGAAGTGGCAATCCGCAGAATAACTCAACTGGAGCACGATTACCGAGAGACGGAACCGGTGTGTGGCTCAAGTTAGACTGCAACATGGGCACGAAGAATGCCCAGTCGTGGGTGTCAACCATATTTCCAAACACAAAATACGTAGCACTTGCATGATATCGCGGTTTACCCGCTCCACACTGTCATTTATCCAAGGTGAGTACACCACTGTGAGCTCGTGACGCGCTTTCAGGCGCCGCCCAAGCTCTGCCACAATCTCTGCTTCGAAATGCGAGCCTTGGTCCGAGATCCACACAGGTGCCATACCAAATCTGCTGTACCAAGCGAGAATCGCCTCCACCAGCACGGTGCTGGTCGGTGCTGCACAAGGTACCAGCTCCGTAAAATGCGTGGCTTCATCTTTTAGCACGAGCAAATACTGGCATGAGCATGGCTGTTTTTAAAACGTTTGTAAAGGTTTGCCCGGAGGTGAAAAAGGTGCAGTTGAAGGAGCTAATCGAGTGCACAGGAGCCCATGGAAAACCAATTGAAGTGAAAATGACTGTGAACCTACATCTACGACTACGGACTGCAGCTGGCAGCGTTCATATCGCTAAGCCAGTTGAGTGCCTCATCATTCCTGGTGATGCAGACGAAATTCTTGCTGGAGAATGACGTGTTGATGATATTAGGGATTGACGTGCATCGGGAACTAGATTTAGTTGTTGCCAATGTCGTTAAGAATGAATTGGACGATGAATTTGACGATACTGAAGAGCCGCAAATTGGTAGTGGGGTAGAGTTAAGTGACACATCGGAAAGTGTACACCCCCTGCAGAGTGCCACAAGGCTGCACGGACGCTGCACTTTTCTTCCAAGCTACGATTCAAAAAGGTCTGGAAGAGTTGCTGCACAAGCATTTACCGGTATTGATCGACGACCTGCTTCTGTATGCGAACGACGTAACTACTTACCTCTCAGCGATCGAGCGATTGTTTGAATTATGGGATTCTTCCGGTTTTAAGGTTAGTCCGAAGAAGTCGAGCCTTTTCGAGCGAGAAGTTCGATGGTGTGGTAAACTAATCAATGGCGATGGTGTCCACCATGACCCGGAGAGAATACAAACGTTGCCATATCCGAAGCCTGCAGGCGAACTACAGCAATTTCTTATCTCTACAAACTGGATGAGAGATTCGCTGGTAGATTACGCTCGTACATCTCGGCCGCTACAAGACGCGCTGGACTTGGCGATGGCGCAAGCATCTAGGCGAACGCGTCGCTGCAGGGATTGCTATTGAGCTCAGCGAATGTGAGCGGTCTGCATACAACGCAATGAAAGCCATACTGGCCTCTAGTGCCACACTGGCGTTCACGAAGGAAGGAGCGACAATGTGCCTGCTGACAGATGCGTGTGATGCTGGCTGGAGCGTTTTAGCCAGTCAAGTGAAAAAAGACAACCTGGCAAAGAAGTGCATGAACAAAAAAACTTGAGCTGTTAGTTTGTTTGAGTGGCAGTTTCACCGGAACGCAGTGCGATTGGCCGATCATTGAAATGGTGGCTTAGCCGTATAGTGTGCGCATGCGAGAAGTTGAGCTATCTGTTGTTAGGACCGGGTGGCTTTAAACGGTACTGTGACCACCGCAATTTGATCTACGTATTTGCACCTGACAAGGAAGAGTAAAAAAAAAATTAGGGGCAAGTTACTACGACGGTCAACAAAGTTGATGGAGTACAGGTACGAAGTGGAGCGCATTGATGGAGAGTCGAACGTGTGGGCCGACATGGACTCCCGCTGGGGGAGAAACCACAGATCCACTGTACATTTAAAGGCTATGACCATACGAAAACGAAGCCCTGCGGAGCCTACGGCCACACAGCAACCACGACGTAAGCGAGTTCGTCGTAAGAAGACGGATCCCTTGCCACCGAAGGTGCAATCAACAGAACAGCCTCTCCCACACCACTGGACAGCCCGGACTTCGTGTGGCCGTCTTTTACTGCGATACTGGGGGTGCAGAGGCTACACGCCGAGGGCAGACCGCGCGTTGCAGTAGGTAGTGATGATGAAGGTGGGTTTAACAAAGACAGAGTGAGGATTCCTCGCAGGGCTGACGACCTCGTGCAACGGCTTTTGGTGGTGGCCCTTTGTGTGGCCCCCAAGAACATCGGGGACGTGATGCAACGCTGGAAAGCGTTGGTCGACAATTCAATGTACATCATTTACGAGCTCGTGTGGAGCGGTTTCTTGGTGCGTGCCTCATGTGCAAGCATGTCAAAGGTGGAAAAAACATTCAACGACCGTGAGGACCAACGTTTAGAGCGAATGTGAGGAATGGAGCATTACGATCTTATTTTTTTTACGCTAAGTGATAGTTTCGATGGAGATCGGTATTTGCTCGTGTTGAAAGAACGAATGTGAGGAATGGCGCACTACACTTTGATTTTTGGACGCTAAGTGAAAGTTTGGAAGGACCTGTCTGCGCCGCTATCCGCGCAGAAAGCCACCGAATTAGCGTCTTCCAACACAGCTGAGCGTGTCTGTGCTGACAGGAATCCGGCTAACCGTCGGAGATTAGCGATGCCTCCCCGCGGCAGAGCGACCACCTCTCTGGTCCAGCTTGGCGGCATGACAGTCGTGATCTTTCTTTGTCGCCGTTGGACATCTGCTGATGTAGTGGGGCCGCCACAGTGAAAACATCCATCTTGCGGTGCTCCTTTCTTGCTCGACTGCTCTTTCTTGTCGGCCGGTTTCCCACCTTTCCGGGTATCGGGGATCTTGGCCCGTTTTTCGGGCTGATGTTGTTGCTTGATATCGTGGTGGCATTTTTTGTTTTAAAACTCGCGCTGCTGCTCGCGCCCTGTCGCGTTGCGGCTCGAGTTTGCGCTTCTTTTTAGAGCGCGGCCTTCTATTGCCTGTTCCAATGCTTGCTGGTTAATAAGCTTAGAAAGCTTCATCACACTGGTGTGTGCGTCCGGGGAGCGATAGTCGATCTCGTTCTCGAACTTTTCTTGTAACGCTATAGGTAGAGAGTTAATCAGCCGCTTGCACTTCTTTTTAGGACCTTTCGTCCCGTCGAAGAAACTAGAGAAACCTTACTTTTTTATCAGCAGGTTACACGAGAAAAAAAATAGCCTGTCACCCTTGACTGAATGTCTGGGTTACTCATGTTCATCTTCAACTCGGTTAGAAACAATTGCTTCACTAGAGACAACGCTTGGTTTGGATAGCTATCTGTAATCTCATGAATCTTTTTCAAGAGAAACGTATCGGTCACTTCGCTTTTTTTTCAACTCCCCAGCTTGCCTCACACAACGTATTCAATAAATCGGCGTCAAATGAGCTTTTTTACACTCTTCAACACCGACTTGTAGGCCTCCTTGTCTTTTGCACCTCTCTCTTGTTGCCTCTTCGTAGGCCTTGCGTAGCTTCAGTCACTCCAGCAAGGTTTCACGTGGTGTTGAAGTCACCAAGGGTGCAGCGACAACGACAAATATTGGCTGCGGAGCTCGTGGTATACTCGTCGTGGACGTTGGATCCGTTGGAACCGTCATAATTGTCCGTGTGATCGGAATATTAGCACCTTCCGAGCTTCCAGCCATCCCATCTTGCTTGCTGTCGTCTTTCCGTTGTGAAGACCATGTTTTTTTAGCTTCAGTCCTAGTCGCGAGACCTCGCAACTAAACAATTCTTTGAAGTAGGGTTTTAGCAATAAAATCCCAACACTAGAAAAGCTGGCACTTCCTGGTACACCCAAAAGTCTATTGGGAATCCTAGCAAGTAGAATCTCTAATGACCATCCACTGCCCGGCACGTCCTGTGCTTGATAGGGCTTTCCCAACCCTCAACCAGCCAGCTCGGCATTGCTATCCTACGCTTTGCTCTGTGTGAGTGGGCGGAGGCTTTCCATTGAGCATCCCACTACTATAGACAGTCCGTTCAGTGTCTTCGGTCTGTCTGCCGACCACAGCCCATTTCACCTTCCGTTTCGTGGTCCGATGTGCCGCACGAGCTGCTTCCTTTTCTTCAGAAGTGGCCACAGGGCCGTCCCTCAACCAATGCTAACCTTTGCAGTGCAGACAACCGGTTCGTGGTAGTTGCCGGCCATGAGCTGTACTCGTATGGTGATTATGGCCGGTAGTATTTCTGTCCGTATCTACGGCTGTCTACCCGCCATTCTTCGATTCCTGCTGCGTTCTATCACGCCTGTTACGTCCCTGCGTATGTGGTGGCTTAATACGCTTGCGATTACTCGTCATAAGAGCTGCATGTGCTCCACCAGACTGTCGAAATCGGCTGTATAATAGCTGCTGCATCTCAGCTCGTTCCAAGATCAACTTATACAGCAACTGGCCGCTGATCCGAATATGGCGAATTTTCTCCAGCTCTAGCATGGCTTTGATCTCATCTCTGAGTATGGGTGGTTGAAGGTTGTCGACAAATATCTTGGCTCTCTACTTCATCCGCACCACATAATCGTATTCTGTAGCTGAACCTCGACCCAAATTCTCATGGAGACCATAATCGGCTATAATTTTTTCGAAATACCGAAAATACTTGTATATTCGATCTATCACATCCGTGATTACCAGATCCACTTTCAATTGCTGGGAGAATAAGCCAGACGGATTCGTGATATAGTCACGTTTAGTCTTATCACACCGCTCCTTCACTTTGGTCATGATGTCCTCATCCCTAATCAGTGACTTCTCCTTGCCAATCTCATACACTGCAAGATACGTCAGCATATCCGGAGTCACGGCACTTCGTACACTGCGGACTACGGTCTTGTATTTCTCACCCGTCCCCAACTCGCATCGCTCGCGAAGTCTCTCTTTGTATTGCTCTCGGGCCTTCCGCTACTTCACCAACGAACCTTGGTTCAACTCCGCAAGCTCTGGAGGTCCCATGTATTCGTAGACCGGCTGCGGTACAGTCATCTCTGCGTCTCCGTCACTAGAACGTCAAAGCACGACATCTTGACCTACTTGACTATCGATTGGGAACTGCACGCAATCAAAGTATACCTTGTGGTCTCTTGTGCTGATGAATGCAGCGATTTTGTGTATTTAGTTAGTTGATCAACTCGAGATCCTAAGCGATCATTTCCTATGCGACCGCTAGCATGGCGACCCTTACCTATTGGTGCTATGCTCTCGTTATGACACCACACGGTGTTTAAGTGAAACTAGTCTTGCTTCACAGTGTCTTACAGTTCAGGGCTCTTATTTTCACAACTTTGGCAGTTCAGAAGACCCGTGTCATTTTAGTAGCTCACCGAGACGGTACAATTCCAGAACTTTACGCCCCAGATAAGGGATTGGCGCATGCTAACGCAATACCGCTTTGTAGCAGTGACATAGTTAATTGAAGAATACAGCAGAAGCCATAAAGGTGATGGTACCCTTGTAAATTATGGAGGAATCATTATCCAGTGCTGTATTATCACAATTTGTGATTTTACAGTACTTTCCATTTTGCGTAAGCGCTTGAAACACTGGGAGTTTCAAGATGTTGAAACATAGGTTTCCGGAATAGGGAGCGACCAGACGCAACGCCAGTTTCCGCGGCCGGAGGAGCAGCACGACTGCAGTTCGCGTCTTCGCCCCCCAAGCTCAAGCGCCCCAGAATTTGATCTTCTCCGACCGTGACGATGCCGTCGCCACCGCCTTTTCCACGTCAGGCTCCGTCTCCACGTCGCCTCCTTCGCCCCAGGTTGCGCCATCGCCGCCTGCCCGCGCGCCGATCTCGCGTCCCGCGTCGCTTCCGACCCCATCAGAGCCCCTGGTCCACGTCTTCCCGCCATCCTCGTCGCACCCAGCCTCGACCCCAGCGTCGGGACCACCATCGGCAGGTCTGCGACGGTCTCGCTCGTGGCGGCAGCTGGTACACAGGACGCGCGCGTCCGTGTGAGCACGCGCACCGCTAAGATAAACAAAAGCACTAAGGCTCAGGCAGAGGTTCGGCGCCAGAAGAAGCGTCTCATACTCGACAAGGAGAGGACCTCCGCACAGGCAGCTCGAGCAACCGCCGTGGCCCTCGGCAATTCGCTAGTATCGACTCAAATTCCTCTTCGGATTTGTTTGCAGCCGGCGGTGGCCACTGCATCTGCAACGTCCTCCCAACCTACTCAGGCGACGCCACTCCCTCCTGCGTCTGAACCACGCCCCCCCCCCCCCCGCCCCGCCGGCTTGGCCCGTACCCAACCGACGCTCCACGTTGCCAGTGTCGCTCCCAGAATTCACGAGCTCGGAGCGCATCACCGACTCGTCCAGTCCACCAGCGCCACGCCACATCCCGACCCAACAACCGAACCCATCGTCGCGGGTGTGGCACACATCGCTTGGAGCCCTCCAATCGTGCGCGCAGCGACGCCGCCCAGTTGCCCGCAGCCCATCTTCAACAGCACCCCAGGCGTGACTGCGGCCTCGCCTGCCGCTCACCCTTCGACCATCGGCACCGGTCCACAGCTACCGTCGCGCGAGCCGCTCGACCTCGCCAATTTTCTCAACACCTTCCACGCCGGCACCAGCCAGACCCCTTCTAGCTCACCCTCCCTCTCCGAGCGCCCCGTTGAGTCGGACGTCATCCAACCAAGCGGCTGTCCAACCGAGTCCCTGCCTGTCGCGGCTCCGGTCTAATTTGAGCCACACACGCTCTCATGAGATACGACCTCACTGTTCTCTGTATTCCTGCAGCTCCTTCAGGCACAACCTGGCGTCACAGCGCCCGATCCTTCAGCCCCGCGGCCGCCGCCACGGACTTGGGTTCCGTGCAGGATCCCCTCTCTTGGACGGTAGCCAACCACCGCGGCCTTTTGCCGCCCGAAAACGCGTGCAATCTGCGCGTGGCCCAGTTTCTACCCACAGCGCTGCGCGCAAGGGGAGATTTCAGACCATTGGCCGTCCGCAGCCTGACCTCTCACGGTGTATATACATACTGGCAAACACCAGTTGGCGTGCATGAGACACCGACATCATTTGTCATCCGCATGCGCATGCTTGAGTGCGTGTACTTCGACGACCACCCAACGATTATTGGAGCGACCGCCGAACTTCGCTTTGGACGGCACGGAGCGTCCGTTATGCACTATTGTCGCGCCGACTCAGCCACTTGGCTCGAAGCTGGATCATCCGACGCTAATCTCAGTATTGACTTCGGCTCGAACGCAGCACATCCGCCGCCTCCGGCATGCAATACGACTTCGACCTGCTTGAAGCGGTTCAAAGTCTGCTTGCATTCGCGCACGCCGAGTGGTATGCGCTCTCCACGCGCCCCCCACACCGCATCCGCGAGTTTGTCGTCGCCAACATGGACGCGGACCCCAGCCACACGCCACAGCGTGTCCAGCGAAAACTGCACGAGGCTGACCTACACCTCGGCTCAGTATACGTCCACCTATCTAGCGACTCCCCCTTTTGGTGGCGCGAGTTTTTGTCCGCAGCCACGTGAATTGAGTTCAAGTCCATTGAATGGACCATGGCCCTCCAAGACATCGCCAACGCTAGCGGCGCGCCCACTACACCTTCTCTGTCCAGCCCGACTGCACCTTTCTCGGACGTCCGGCCTCTTTCACGCGGCCGCGGCGTGCATCGAGGTGACGACGCACGCCCGAGCGGTATTCCAGCCAGCATGCACGCCATTATCCCACGTGACTCTGATGTGTAGAGCCGTGTCTGCGCTTCTTTGGTGGGGGTATGTGTCCCGGTGGCACCACGGACACGTGCACGGCCGGCCGGAAACACACCTGACCAGATGATCTCCCCGCTGCGCTGGTAAGCTTCGTCACCAAGAAATTTAGTCGCCGGCAACCGTCCGACCGCCGCCGTGCCTGACGAGGCCGATGTACTGCTGGTTCGCCAGTGCTTCAGTGCCTCAGACTCAGTCGTAATTTGAATACACGCACGTATACTGACATCCTGAGCTCTAGCGAACCACACGGCTTACCCCAACAACCCAATACACTTGCCGACGTGACTCCTTGCTGCATGGTCAACGGAGACCTTGCCGTCGATGCGTGCGCACCTGCCCACCGCTCCCAGCCCAATGCCGATGAGCAGCCGCCCGCTTACAGCGCGGGCCATCCAACCGAAGACGCGGGCTCGAGCGCCGGCCAGCGCCCCTCTCCTCTCGTCCCACGTGGGACCGCACGGTGGGGGCTTCAGCGTTACAGCTGACCAGCTTTCCACCACGAGCGGTTCTGCAGCCACGTGTCGTATACTAACATCCGCAACTTCCTGTACTGTAGCCCATCAACGTCCACCACAGGTGCGTATTCCAGCTCTACGCCCTTCGTCATCGCGCATCACGCTGGCACGAACTCGCAACTCAGGCCAACAGCGCTAGACTTTGGGAGTCGATCCGCGACGATTCCCTCTCCGTTGCCTTCCGTAAAGTCAGCGTGCAATTTCCTGTATGACACACTACCAACCCCGTAGACACGGCACCCAACCGCGACGCGATCAACGAACCCCTGCAACACGCAATGTCCGAGTACATCAGGCGCACACGAAAGCCCCTGAAACGATTCACAGAGCTAGTTCGCTGCCTTTCACACACACACTACCGTCCCAACAAAGCACTACAGCCTGAGATTCTGCGGGCATACTGCCAAGGATACGAACATGTCGGCGATCTTGTGCGCATCGCTTCCGATGGCTCCCGTGTGCGCTTGACCTCCCCAATCCCTCAGCAGCATTTGTTCCCCCGCAACCACCCCTCGGTGTCTCAACGCATCCAGGTTCTTTGATCCAACATGAGGAAAGAACAGGACGCATTTCGCTGTATCGTTGTGGACGCCGAAATCAAAACGATTTGGCCGGAGCTGTTTATCAGCCCGTTCGGCGTGGTCAAAATGGCGACGGCGACCCACACGTCTCGGGAAGAGTACTCCACGACCTCTCTTTCCCGAAGGGGATTCGGTCAACTCACACACGAATGCGGACGACACCCCAACGGCATTGTTTGTGCAGTGCTCAAGCGTTGCGCAGGAAATCATCCGGTGTCGCCGAAAATCCCCATCCGAGACCGTCAAGTTGATGACCGGCGACGTCGCGTCAGCCTACCGCAACGCGTGCATACACAGCGAGTGCGTGTTCATGTTCGCGGGCTACATCCCAGAAGACAACGCAATGGTAGTCGACCTATTGGCCGCGCTCGGGTGGACTGGCAGCTCCGGAACGCTCGGTATCTTGGACGGTGCGGTAGCGTTCATACACGGATCGTGCACCAGCGACGCCCACCTCAGTGGGTTTTATAATTACCACAGGGTCGACGACCACGTGAACGTCTCACCTGATACTGGAACGAGCTGCATCGACATCGAATGCGCCACGCCATGACGGTCGTGATGGGTCCTAGCGCTGATAGCGACGACAAGTTCACGCCGTGGAGCCTCTAGGATCAAGGTGCTAGGCCTCGTCTTTGACACAATCTCCGGCACGGTGGCGATGTTAGAGGCAAAGATTCAAAAGGCCAGGCCTCTCGAAGCGAAGGCCTTTCACGCCGTCAGCCTCTCTCGTACCGAGTACCTTTCTCTGTTCAGATCTCTTTGTCACGTCGTCAGATGCGTAAGACCCGCGCGTGTGTTCCTCCAGCGGCTACATGCCCGCGAGTGCGCCATTCGCCGCACCAAGCGCATCGCCTTGTCCCCGACAATACGTGATGACCTCCTCTGGTGATGGCTCATACTACGATCTCCGTCTCAAAACGGTGTCCCCCTCGAGTACTTCGATGCGAGCCCGTCCAACGACGTCACCATCTTTACGAGCGCATCAGACATCGGAATTTGCGCAGTCGTTCCATCGCGGTACTTGCACCTCACATACGGGTTCTCCCCTTTCGAGCGAGAGCTCATCAGCCGTTTTCACCTCGGCTCGACAAACGAGTTCGATATCAAGTATCGGAAGATTCTAGCATGCGCATTTGCGGCCAAGACATGGGCTCCCCTGTGGCGCGCCAGCCACGCTCAGGCACGTCTGATTCATATTCATTTCCGTTTTGACAACACCACCGCCATCTCGTGGCAGTTGAGAATGGCATCGAGAAATACTCGTGTACAGCTCTTGATTCGCCTCCTCGGCGTCTGGGAGCTCCAATTTGGCCTGCGTTTCTCAGCGTCACACATTCCCGGGTCCGAGAACACCACAGTCGACGCAGGTTCCCGCCGGTGGGGTGATGGTCCTCACGCCTTGCTGTTCGCCGAGCTAGCCCGTGGTTGGTCTCAGGCACCGACTCCCTCATCCATAGAGAAGCTCGAGACAGCATGGCAAGGCATCTCCGCGAATACTCCGCTGCTGCCTCATCCCTTCGAGGTTACGCCCGGGCGTTCAGCAACCGGAAGCTGTGGACCCACCGAGAAGGCATCCTCTGGCACCTCAACCTCAAGCTAGATGAGCAAGTGCGCACCATTTACAATGTTATCAGCGACGCTAACAAACACGGCCTAGGCTCGAACAGACCAGCTCAGAGCTCCACAATCAAGTATGCCCTTCAGGACATTCGCCATTTTCTCAGCGGCGCGGGCCACGAATTTCCAGCTGTCCACCCACAGGTCCGCATGATCCTGCGCGGGGTGAGCAGATCCGACGCTCCCACGCGACGTAAGACCCCGGTATCCGTCGCACTGCTCGAGGAGTGTCTTCGGTCTCTTTCCCTTCAGGACCCCGCGAACCAAGCTACGTGGGAGAGGGGGGGGGGTTGTGCCTGGCCTTCTTTTTCGTTCTGCGTCGGTCGGAAATTGCAGCCACCACATCCACGACATTTTGGTGGTTCGCCCTCACGGCAGCAGACATCGCCGTGATCGACGCAGAGGGAACGGCCACAGCGGATCCAAAGAAGGCATCGGCGGTATGCATTCGGCTCCGAGGCTCCAAGACCAACCGGAACGGCCCACCGATAACGCGCATACTGTCACGATCGGGTCACCCACACTCATGCCCAGTGCTCGGCGCACTGCTCCTCTTTCGCGCTAGGGGTAACTCACCGCCTGAGATCTTGGCAGCCGTGTTAGTGAACAAAGGCGAGAGACCCCGCTGCGTGACGGCGGCCCGCGTCGCCAAGGAAAACCAAGATGCAGCTGGTCGCATGGGCAAAAATCCCCGCCAGTACAGCACAGATTCTCTCAGGGCCGGCGGAGCTACGAGCATGTACCGAGCTGGCGTGGATTCACGAACCATCCAGCTCCACGGCCGCTGGACATCGGGCGCATTCAAACTCTACACGCGCTTATGCAACGACTCCGTCGCTGCAGTCGTCACCGATATGGTGAGCGGGGCCGCCAACCTGGCAACATTACAATGACGTACCACTCTACCTATGGGGCTCAAACCGATCTGGCTCTCGGCTTGTGGCGCGGTAGCTCGTAGCCCTTGATTTGTAACGCTAAAAAGCTTTGACCCCAAGTCTGAGCGTGTAGAAGGAGGAAATGAGACTTCAGTGATGTTTTATCGTACTCTTCGCATGCCTGACTTTTTTGCGGTTAGGGAATCATTTTGTCCAGAACCGAAGAAGTTGTGATTTTGGAAGAACGCCACCTGGATTGGACGAGATGGCACTGACGCACCGTGGCCGTAATTACGGAAATACTTCAGGAGTATCGACAGAAATTAACGGGGAGTGTAGAGATAATGTTTGTCGTGGTGCAGAACCCATTCAGCTTCAACTTCATGGTTTCCTTGCTTGCCAACTCAGTATTTGTAGACTTGTCTGCATTATCATGACAGTGTTCTGCGTAAGCCAGTCTCTCTATTACATAAGTGAATAAAGTAACGAGAGATTCATTGCTGCAGGACAAACAAAATAACGTTAGTGTAAAATGCTGTTTTTTAGAACTTGTAGCCGGTTTCACATGCATTCGCGTCGTGGCGAGTTTTGACTTGGTGACGGGCTCTGTTGGCCGTTCTCACGCTCTGCAATCACAGACGATGCTAGTCAAGAAACCGGACGGTCAGTTTCTAAAATAATTTGGTTGCAGCGCTTGTGAGTGAGTAAGCACGCCATTCCACAGCATCGAGTAGTGCACGCAGCAGCAATTCTGCGTTGGCAGTGAGAGCCGCTCACTCCAAGTGAGCGACCTACATGCACATCTTGTCTGCCTTGAGCGAACCCTTACTGACCTTATGCCAATCGACGTGTACTGTAGCAAGTGCTGGATGATGCGCACGGAGTTCCACTCTGCTACTTTACAAACTTCATAAATCATTGTGTACATACTTGCTGCACTTTTAGCTCGAACACGAACACTATGAAGCAAAACACATTCTTCCAAGGCAAGTCGCTACATGTACTGGCGAGCTCTCGTGAATTTCTTTCAGCGATCTTCTAATTTTATCCATTGCACCCTAGCGAAATTCCTGCGCTCGGATACAACCAGATGGCCGATCACTGTGCCGATCCCTTGGCTCTCTGCACTTGTAAGGGATTCTTTTCTCTCGTCGCGTCACCGCATCTCCTTCCGTGTTGGTGCCATCTTTGCATCATCTCACCTAGGGATGCGTACCGTACCGGTGGAGCGCATCGCTTGATCGGTGGTCTCCGCCGCGACTCCCGTATCCTCATTCCTCGTTTCGCGTGGCATCTCTCATTGCGTCTTTTTCGTTAACCTCCGTCACTATGGACAAGACCGACAGTCACCTACCTGACCTAGAGAAGTCGCCCACTGCGGCGTATTCCAAGCTAGACGGCGACGTACCGTTTCAGGCCCCAGAGCAGCAACTGGAGAACAGCAACTCACTGTACGCGCGTCTACAACGTTGGGCCAGTCGCTTCAAGATCGAGACGCGCGGCATCGAGCGCGTCCCCGAGGACGAGCGCCCCGATGACTCGCTTCTGAACGTCGGTAGTATGTGGCTGGCGGCTAACATGGTCATCAGCTCCTTCGCCATTGGTGTACTTGGCAAGTCGCTCTTCTACTTGGGCTCGGCCGACGCCTTCCTCGTCGTGCTCTTCTTTAACATGGTGGGCATTCTACCCGTGTGCTACTTCTCCACTTTTGGTCCGATCTTCGGTCTACGCCAGATCGTGCTCTCACGGTTCTGGTACGGCTGGCACGGCGCTAAGATCGTGGCCCTTTTCAGCGTCATCGCCTGTCTTGGTTGGTCTTGTATCAATGTCATTGTCGGCGCACAAGTCATCAACGCAGTAAACAACGACGTTCCGGGTTGGGCCGGTATCACTGCGTGCACCTTCATCGTCACGCTATTTGGCTACAAAGTGGTGCACGCCTACGAGTTCTGGTCGTGGATCCCAGCCTTTATTGTCTTTATGATCGTACTCATTGAGTTCGCTATCTCAGACGCATACGTTAATATCCCAATGGGCACGGGTACCTCTTAGGTCGGCAGTGTCTTAAGCTTCGGTGCAACAGTCTTCGGGCTCGCCATCGGCTGGGCGTCGTACGCCGCCGACTACACCGTGTACCAACCAGTTAATCAAAGCAAGGTGAAGTCTTCTTCTCCGCGTACGCCGGTCTGATCGTGCCGCTGTTGTTCACACAGTTCCTCGGTGTCGCTGTCATGACATCTACGGACGAGAGCAATCCGGACAGCAAGTACCGTGATGGCTACAATGAGGCGGGGGCTGGCGGTCTCATCAGTGCTGTGATCGTGGGTCCACTTGGTGGCTTCGGTCAGTTCTACCTCGTCCTCCTGGCGTTGTCCATCATCGCCAACAACTGTCCGAACATCTACTCGTTCGCTATTACCGTGCAAGTTTTCGGAGAGTGGACGCGCAGCATCCCACGCTTCGTATGGACATTGGTGGGTTCGGTCATTCACGCGGTCGTGGCCTTCCCGGGCTACCTAACTTTGAGAGTGTACTGGAGAACTTTATGAATGTCATCGGCTACTGGATGTCTGTGTACGCGTCGATCGGTCTTACGGAACATTTCTACTTCCGTAAAGGCTACTCGGGTTACAATCCGGCCGACTACGATAACCGCGAGAAGCTCCCGCACGGTATCGCCGCCGTTTTCTCGTTCTGTGTGGGCATCGTAGGCGCTGTCTTGGGGATGAGCCAGACGTGGTACGTTGGCCCCATTGCCAAACTCTGCGGCGAGAAGCCGTTCGGAGGAGACGTCGGCGTGGAGCTGGCGTGGCTGTTCTTCGTCGTGTCGTATCTGATCACGAGACCCATCGAGCTGCATTACTTTGGCAAATAAATGCCGTAAAATATGTTGTGATTCAGCACTCACGTAGGACCAGTGACCGCTATAAATATTTGTTGCCCATTATTATTCAAGAACAGTGATTGTATCATCCAGCACCTGGAACTCAATGAGCTGTCATCGACCACGGTGTACTGCTGAGCTTCGATCCGAAATTCAAAGTTTGGCCAAGTGACTTTGGGCTTTTTGCACCCGAGGAGGATAACTTCAACGCACCGTTCAATTTTAATCGCGGAATATGCATCCAGCTTCATATTGAGGGCATCAACGAAGATTTTGGCTACTTTAGCCGCCGCTTGAGTGCTCTCATCCTCAATTCCCTCCGCACAGTCTTCTTCAGCTCCGTCGTATTAGAAGCCTACAGCCCCACCGAGTCCACCCGTGGCGACCACTGCCCCACCCGCGAACACCTTCGCCGGCAACCAACTCCACTTCGGAGCCTACCCCTGCACCCACCCAAGAAGACACTGGAGCCTACTGCTAAGAATGAAGTGTATAGGTCCAATTACAAATGGAGACTTGTGTATGTACTTTTGGGAAAATCGGCACTGATGCCTGTCACTGTCTTTTATCTTGTTGTATGCTTCATCTTTCCTCTACAAGCCGTTAAGCAGTCGATTTGCAGCTGCCTCCACGTTATTGTCCGTAGTCTGAAGTGCCTGTAGGGCGCGCTCTCTATCAAACCCAAGAGCCTACAGCCAATTCATTGTTAGTCAATAATATTATTTTTTAGCGCAAATAATAAAAAAAAACTTACCATAAGCTGCTGAATTGCGTCCTCGGACGGCGGTTGAGCGGCCATGTGAGGTAGCAACATGCCACCAGCAGCCGGAGCGCCTCCAGGCATCGCCCCACCGGCACCGGGCAGTAGCTGGTCTCGGAATCCTTGACCCTGGACGGCTGGGGCACCTGGACGACGATTGAAGCGAGCATTTACTCGTCGCTGGGCCTCAAGTGCACGCCGCTGCCGCTGTAGCGCTAATGTGCTCGCTGGAACCACCTTAAACAATGGATGTAGTAGACCGAGAATGGAGCACACGAACGAAGGCAACTGCAGTCGTCCGAGTGGCGTAGAGCGGAACAGGAGACCAAGGAAAGATCCGCCCATAAAGGGAATTAACGCCCGGAAATCACGTACGAACAGCTACAATATTGTAAAATAACGTTAGTTAAACGTTTTTTATAAGGAAAATAAAACAGTTTTCATTGCGTACCACAAGCATGAGCATGTACGTGCTCGACTTGTCCGAGAAATGTAGTCCCCATACACTGAATGATCGCGGGTGTAGCTTGGGAATAAACTCTAAACCATAAATTAATAATTAAAAATCACTTCGTCACCTCTTTCCATTGCAGCCACGTACTGTTAAAGTAGACGGCAAAAGCTCCAATGATAGGGTACGGCCCACCCGGGATGGTCTTGGCTAACCAAGGGGAGGAGGTCAGCGCCGCGAGTTGTAGTGCACCCGAAATTAACAGCACGAAAACGAGAATACTGCCGAATTTACGAGAGCCCAACTGTCTCTCCAGGACTCGGAACTGAAATACGGTGTAGAGCCCCAGAGACACAGCCAACCCACTACATCACAGAACGTTGTTAGTATAACAAACTATAACGACAAAAATAATTCATATAACTTACTGATGGAAGGTTAATTGACTCGAGATCAGACGCCAGTACTGTGAACGACTGAGAATGGCGTCTCGGTCGAGCGCTAAGAGATGACCACGGTCCAGTAAGAGGCTGGCGGAGCTGGCAGCCCCCACCGCGAGCGAGAAGGCGTAGGTCACAGGAGCGCCATCTATTGAGATAACAAAGGCGTTAGAGAAGACGAGCATACATAGATAGAGAGAGGTGGCCACGCACAGAAGCCCCGCAAGTCGCCGTGCATCTTGACTGTGTCTGCTTGGACGGCCACGTAATTGGAGCTTGGTGCAACATGCAAATTTAAGCGACATTTCTGATTACACCTGCGATTTGTAGCGACCTCTACAGATCTCAAGTCAAAAGGAAATGTTGCAGCAATTTTGACTCGATTAAGTACGAGTAACTTCAACTTGCCTTTTTGACAGAATCTGCCCATAAATAACCACGAGATGGTTTCGAAACTACTGCGACTATCTCTGGGAAGGAGAAGAAGTGTGTCGGAAGCCACACTTGTTCATCCCGCGCAAGCCTTCAGAGGGTGAAGTTGCCGTCGAGATGCTCGCTCGACGCGCACACCCGACGATCTCGACGCGGCCGTCGAGTACTAAGACACTCGGCAAGAGCGTCGACAGCCCTAGCAGTAACCAGCATCAAGGCAACAATGCCAACCCTGTAGCACGTCCTGCGCTTGGACAGATCGATGCCAGACACTTACAGATCGGGGTTAAAGTTTGGGTGGCCGACGCTAAAGTACTCTGGCGCATTGGCGAAGTCCAGACGATCGCAGAAGACCGGAAGACAGCGCAGGTATACCTCCCTGACGCTGCGGAGGATGAGACGCAGACTCTGCGTATGGACCAGCTTTTCACCTTTGACGCATCGCATATTGTGGACCACGCCGATGTAGCGCTAATGAACAACATGCACGAGGCACCGCTGCTCAACGTGTTGCGCCAACGCTTCGAACGCGACGAGATCTACACGTTCACTGCTGATATTTTGCTCTCAATCAATCCGTACAAGTCGATTCCTCTACTATACGACGTCGTCGGCTTCATGAAGAGCCGTGAGGAGGCAGCTACAGCTACTGGAGACGGAGCGACCAGCGACAGCAGCGCGCCACCACACTTGTTCTCCATCGCAGAGAAGGCGTATACAGGCATGAAAGGTGTTGTTCCCGGGTCCGGAGCGCCACAGTCTATCGTTATCAGTGGCGAGAGTGGTGCTGGTAAGACGGAAGCGTCCAAGTACATTATGAAATACCTCGCAACTGCCAGTAAACACGTCGCCAGCACCAGCTCTGGCAAGACAGCGGCAGTTGTACACGAACAGATCGAGGAGTGCGTGGTGTTGTCTAATTTGATTCTGGAATCATTTGGCAACGCAAAGACCTCACGCAACGACAACTCGAGTCGGTTTGGCAAGTATATTCAGATTCATTACAACAGTGAAGGACGAATGGCAGGGGTGTCGATTCGTCACTTTCTATTGGAGAAGACACGTCTCGTTCGTCCAGAAGTGAACGAACGTAACTACCACATCTTCTATCAGTTATTAGCAGGACTTGATACTTTAAACAACACGTCAGACCCTGCAACTACGGCTCGACCGCTGCTACTACGGAATGATGTGTGGAATTATACGTACCTCACACGTGGAGACTGTGTGGAGGTGGATGGGGTGGACGACGCGACGGAGTTCGAGCAGCTTCGACGTTGTCTAGAGCAACTAGGGATGGACACAGCCTCCTTCCAACGTCCAATGTTCGAGGTCCTCGCAGCCATTCTACATCTTGGCAACGTCACATTCGAGAGTCCCACGCAAGGGAGCAAAGGAGAGGGCTCTCGGGAGGACGAACCTACTCGAGTAGTGTTCCCTGAAAGTGACGCGGGTGTGAACTTGGAACATGTAGCCATGTTACTAGGCGTCGATGCGGCCGAGTTTGCTAACAAGATGGTCACCCAGACGACTATAACTGGTCGTGGGAGTATTCTGGAGATCAAACTGACCCCGGAACAAGCTAAAAACGCCATGGATGCCTTCTGTAAGTATCTTTACGGCGAGCTTTTCCACCACGTGATATCACGTATCAACGCCTGTGCCAAACAGCAGACATCTGTCGACCACAAAACGCCGAAAGCTCGAGTCCAAGGTGGCTCAAACACCCCATCCCTGACTCCGTTTATCGGGATCCTCGACATTTTCGGCTTCGAAGTGATGAAACGCAACAGTCTGGAGCAACTTTGTATCAACTTTACGAACGAAACATTGCAGCAACAATTCAACAAACATGTGTTCGTACTGGAACAGGAGCGATACGCTCGCGAAGGTATCGCCGTGTCTCCCGTTGAATTCCAGGACAACCAGCGTTGTCTGGACCTCATCCAGAAGCCACCTATGGGTCTCTTACCTCTTCTAGAGGAGCAAATGCTACTCAAACGCAAAACTACAGATAAACAGCTACTCACGATTTATCACGGCAACCACTTAGATAAACACCCAAGTTACGCGAAACCTCGCTTCGAGTGCGACGAGTTTATTATCCGACACTACGCAGGAGACGTGACGTACGATATCCACGACTTCATCGCTAAGAACACGGACAATCTGCACGATGACTTGCTGGATCTACTACGACGGAGCTCCCAACCGCTACTTCAAGACATGTGTAGTGCTCCAGCTGCAGCTTCACTTGGTGGCGCTGCAACTAAGCGCGGAGGGCCATCAACGCCAAGAGGAGCCACGCACCAGCGTACTCAGAGCGCATCTCTAACCGGTACAACAACCGTATCCAGTCGGTTCCGAACGCAACTGGCGGAGCTTATGGAGGTTTTATGGAGCACAACGCCAAGTTATATTAAGTGTATCAAACCGAACAATTTGAAATTCCCTGGTGGTTTCAGCTGCGAGTTGGTACGCGACCAACTTGTATACAGTGGTGTACTTGAAGTGGTACGTATACGTCAAGAAGGGTTTCCGATCCGCAAGCAGTTCAGCGTTTTCTACGAGCTCTTTTGGCCACTTGCGATCAAAAGTTACGGTGTTGTCACTACAAGAGGCAACACGAGTAAAATCCGACAAGCCTGCGAGGTAATTGCTCGTGAGTGGCTTAAAGATAAAGATCTGGAACGGCAACAATTGTTTCAAGAAGAGAATGATTCTCCAGAAATGGAAAAGGACGAGACGGAGACGACAACGCGAGTTGCTCGACAGATCTTTGCCATGGGGAGGAACGAAGTGTTCCTTCGCTACGGCCAGATCGAGCGTCTCGAAGGCTCCTTAGCTACACTTCGACTAGAAAGCATCGTCACCTTACAGTCCAAACTGGTTCGAGCTCGCTTGGCATTCAAAAAGTTTCATTTGCTCCGTCAGGCAACAGTAAAATGGCAAGCACTTTGGCGGATGCACACGCAACACTCTAAGTACCTGCAACAACGTAAAGCTGCTTTGAAGATCCAAGCTCGTTTCCGAGCTTTTCAACTCTCTACTTTATTCCACAAGAAGAAACGCGCAGCTTCTGTGATGACGCGAGTGTGTCGCAAGTACATCACTCGATGCAAATTCCTTCGTTTCCTCAAGTCAACACGTGCAGCTACTGAGATTCAGCGTCATATCCGAGGTTTCCTACTTCGTACAGCCGCTGAACGTGAGCGCAAGACACGTGAACGTACTACTTTGAGTCTGCAGTCGTGGCAGCGGATGCACGTCCACCGTCGTCGCTTTCTGACTCAAAGATACGCTGCCGTTCGACTGCAAACTAAATATCGCTGTCGCACTCAACGCCGTCGCTTTTTACGTGAGAAGAAAGCTGCGATTGTGCTGGCTGCGTTTGTGCGTCAAGTTTTGCAACGTAGACGCTTTAAGAAGCTGAAAGCGAGTATTGTAAAGACCCAAGCCATGGTGCGTAAGTGGAAGGCACGTCGGATGTTTGTGGCCCTACGCTGTGCTCTCGTGGTGCTACAGAGCTTACGTCGGCAACGAGCAGCGAGAAAACTTTTTATCGCTCGGAAAGCTGCAGTAATCCGACTGCAACATGCTATGGTCGGATGGTTTGCTCGATGTCGATTCGTCACATTGAAGAAAAGTACGTCTCGACTTCAGTATTTCATCACGAGTTGGCTGCTCTGTCGCCAGTTCCGACGTGCTCGTAGAGCGTCCAGACGTGTTCAAAAAGTGTGGCGATTGCATCATCGACGTGTGCGTTGGCAACTAGAAATGGCGAGTGTGTTTGTAAGCCATTCGAACGCTGCATCAGATTCTGGGGGTTTGTCGTGGACACAACACACTCGAATGGAAGATTCGGACCGTCGAATGGCAAAATTGCGTCTTCAACCAGACATTTTTTTCACTTTACAGCCACGTGCATTTGGGTACAACTCATTGTTCCATGAAGCTGCCGCATGTGGAGATTTCCATGTGGTCAAGTACATGCTCAGTGAACGCAGTGCTGACGAGTTGCTTAGCCTTAAGAACGGACGAGGCCTCACTGCGTTCCATGAAGCGTGTGCGTACGGTCAGCATGCCATGGTCAAGTATCTAGCACTGCAAATGATAGATGCGATCTCAACTATGCGAGCTTTTCCGCCGACCTTTAAAGACGACACGACTGACGCGCCAGAACAGAGCACAGCAGACCCATGTGATGAGAGTGACAACCAGCAGAGTAGTGAAACTGAACCCACAACATCTACGCGGACGGTAGTCTACAGTGGGTTTCTTCGTAAGCGACGCGAGACTTCGCGTTGGATGCGACGTTACGTAGTACTGAGTGTGACTTCGGACAAGCACGATCGCCCACAGTTGGACTACTATCCCAACGACCGCAAAGCCACATTGGCTGGGCCCAGCTCACTGCAGATTGACTTAACAACCGCTCTACTCAAGACAAGTGTGGACTTGCCGTTCGCTTTCGAGTTGCACTCGCCACAACTCCTTGGAGGTCGCAACAAAGAAGGGCGACTTTACTTCGCAGCATCGGGTGCACTTGAGATCCAATGTTGGCTGGCACATCTGCGCAACATCATCCCAAGTAGCATCGAGTCGCGTGTGTTTGCCATGCACCGATCCGCTCAAGGTAACCATTTGGAGTTCATTGACTTTAAGGCTCGTCAACAAGTGTGCAACCTTCAAAGCGCGTCACCCAGACTGGAGACGCCCCTGCACTTGGTTGCAAGTTGCAGTAGTCTCGTGATTCTTGCAGCCATTGAAGACGAAACACCCGAGAACAACAAGAGCAACAACAGCGAGATCAACTTTGACGTTTCTGTTATCACAGCAAACGCCAGTGCAAAGTCCAAATCACTATTGGATGCCGAGCTTGAACTGGTCAAGACGACGCAGTGGCTGATTGAGAACGGAGCAGACATTAACGTCATGACAACACGGCAAGAAACGCCTCTACAGTTGGCTCTACAAGCCGGACACTTGATACTAGCGAAACTTCTTTTGGACCGTGGAGCCTTAGCGTCAAGCCTCTCTGAGCCGCATCTGATGCTGGTCCGTTGCTTGAAGGCTGAACTGGCTAAACATGCCATCACGAGTATCTCTTCGTCTGCGCGTGGCTCTGTTAGTATTGCACACCCTAATCTGCCACCTCCGGGACCCATGAATGGGCTGATAGCTGCACGAAATTGCTTCCTGAAGCGACCTATGCGCGGGTTAAGCACGGGCGACGACGAACCTCGCATGCTCTTCCTGATTAAACAACCCGGAAAAGTGCTCAATAGTTCCTACGTGTCGCTCTTTGTGGAGCTCATCAGACTGAATAACGCGACGTCAATTGGAGATCGACGACCGCGAATCGTCATTTCTGTGATGGACGGGCAACGCAACCTCGTCGAGATGCGGCAACAAGTGTCTGTACAACCCGTGGCTGCGTCGAACGCTCTACTCTGGGGCTTCACGTGGCACATGCAGACGCCCCTAGAGAACTTGCCACACGGAGCTTGTATCGTAGTGGAGTTAGCCACTACCAGCACGTCGTCTGGCTCACCCACACGCGACGGCGCCTTGTCCCCAACACTTGGCGCTAGTGTACTCAATCCGGAATGCTGGACGTATCTTCAAGTTGACCAACGTACAGCCAACAGCGCGCCTACTACTGCTGAGATGTACAAGTACCCGGTCGACTTGTCTTCGCAGAATACACTACACCGCGCCGACGCCTTCCTCTCAGGCGAGATGTTGATCTCGCAAGCTCATACATAAGCTGTGTTACTTCATCTCTTGAATAAAACACTAAGAAACAAGATGGTAAAAAAAAGAATAGGGGGTTTCAGACATCGTATCAGTTTGTCTCATTTCCTGTCTCATCGTTTTCGAGCGATGAGGCAAAAAATAACGCCTGTCATCGTTGAAAAGCCTTATCATTTTCAAACCTTTTACATAGACTTTTATAAAACAGAACGCTATATATAAGGCTTATTCATCTTGAAGGGGGACACGCACCAATGCGGTCAGTGCGGAATTCGACACGGAAACGTCAAGTGCAGGCTTTCCTGCCAGGATCTCTCCACCGTCCGCGCACAGTCCGTATAGAGTCCTCTTCCTGCTCGACGTTATACAGTATACCACAGGTTTGTCCATGAATTTAGCTGAACTCTATCAAGTGCTGAGTATCTTTGCGTGTAGTTCTTGGAGATCAAGGCACTGAATCAAGATGGCTCCTAAACGGCAGCAGAAACATAAGAAGACACGCCTTTTGGGCAACAGGGGGAGACACACCGAGTCTCTCTTACACGTTTCCAACAAGGAGAGGACGACACAGGTACTGGATACCACACAACACGGTATCAAATTGCTGCTATGGTATCGTGGCTGGAAATTTCTGCCAATTTCAACATCATAGCAGGGAACTCGACAAGTGGAAAAAAAATGGCGCATGGTGGAGGCACAACCAAGATCGCTGGGTTCCGCAGCATGGCCGAGTTCGTGCACACCGCTACGGTGGATTACATGAGAGCGGAACTATTTTTTGACCCAAAGCTTGCCGCTGCGTGGGAGGCGAAGCAGTGCCAAAGTCGCTGGAACTCCATCTTTCGTCGCTATCGTGCGGCACGGTACAAACTGGATAACCAGACGGGGTTTGGGCTCACAGAAGAGATGGTTGCAAAGGGAATGACGGTCGATGATCTTGCAGAGGAAAGTTGCCCATGCTTTCATCGAATTGATGCGCTCTTCGGCGCAAAGTCTAATGTCGCACCCCCTTCAGAGATGAGCGAGCCATCGTACGACGACGCTGATTGGTTTCCCGTGCGAGAAAATATCTCTGACAAAACAAATATCGATCGGTGTAACAGCATGACTTCTAGTCAGAATAGTACCGTGAATGATACCGGCTACGACCAGGAGAATGTGAGCCCAAACGCTCAGAAGAGTGCGGCATACCGACCACTCAATTTGATAAACACCACAGAACAGGATCACACTTCTCAACAGCCTACTATGGCCACGATAGCGAAGCCAACTGCAAAGAAGTCCACTCCGGCGACGAAGACTTTCAAAAGCGCCGCAAAAACGAAGGCAACCACGGCTGCAGAGACAAAAGGAGTCGACAAAGCCATGTGCTACAAGCGCAAGGACTTCGGTAGCGTTTACACAGAGGCATCCAAGAAGCGCCAAGCCTTTAACGAGAAGAAACTTAAGGTGCAGATGCAATGGAAAGAAAAAATGCTGCTGGAGGAGCCTTGAAAAAAAATATGAGCGAGAAGCACGAGTGAAGGAGTTGGAAAAACAAACTGAAATTCAGCAAGTTCAATCCCGACAGACCATGGCTCTTGAGCTTCTCAAAACTGGAAAATCACTCGATGAAGTGCAGACGATTGTTGCAGCTTTCTTTCCTGGCACAACTTCAACAAACAAGACCAATGCTACAGCCTCCCGAAACGACTGAAAGGAATTAAACTTAAATTGAAACAAGGAAAAGTAAAAAGTATGCATGTGGTAGTGTTGGTTTTGTTCGCAATTAAAATGGATTTTTGTCGACAAAATTCAAATAAAATCGCGAACAAAACCCACGGGATTACCCAGAACGTCGCCATCACACAGCGGAAACGGCACGCCATTTAGACGGTGATGTCGTCGACATCCATGGTCTCTACAGCTGCAAGATAATCATGTAGCGCGTGTGAGTCGACCATGTCAAGATTGTCAACGTCAGTCACCACATGGTCGCCACCAGCGTGACCAGCGTCAAGCGCCTGGCGAACAGTAGCACGTTCAATGACCAGATGCAGTACTCGGCCTCGTGTGATGGTAACCACTACTGAGTATTCTTCTACCTTAGCATGCAGACGCAGTTCATCCTTGTCAACAGCTTCGTGCGACTCGCGTCAAATTGGTTACCCAAGGTGTCAGCTCCACTGCACGCCAGTAAAGATGAAAGTTTCTCGTGCGAGCGATGTCTAAAATAATAATTTGATATTAAATGTAGCTTACCTGGCATAAAGCTATCAAAATAGGCACAGCAACTACACTCTACGTCAACGACGGTCAGCCGGTGTGCTAGCTAAATGTGCACTGAACTGAGCCTAAAACAAGGAGGAGAACACGGATATTTTAAAGTAGCGACCAATATCAACTTGATCTCAAAGCTGAGCTCCCAAGTAGTCTAGGCTGTAGTCGAGAACGTAGTCTACAGCTTGACTGAAACGCTCTGCCACACCAGCCATTCATCTTCGATAAGCTCGTCATCGCTTTCGTCCGCGTTTTCGAATCTCCCCTAGTGATCAAACAACGGAAAATCGGCAGCTTTACGATGCGAAAAGATGAACGCGACTCGTACACAAAGTCAGCAAAAGCTTGTCAAGCTGAGCTTGGGAAAAGTGGGCAGATTGGAATGGTTGTCCAGTTACGTCTTCTCCGTCTAGCTGGACGCCTCTCTGTCGGCTCCTCTTCCGGGTATCATCCTCCTTACGCTCAATGGCAGCGCGCTTTCGCTTCTTCCTCTCCATTAATGTGTAATCCTGACAGTGCATCAAATGGCTCTTCAGTTTGTGTGCTTTCGGGTTGGATATCACTGTTGAGCATCGAAGACCCTTGACTCGGCCATTTTCACTCGCCTCGCTGAAGAGCGTCCAGACGTTGGACTTTGGACGGCCTACAGTCATCGTTGCTCTTCAAGCTGCGAGGACATTAGCTCCTCCGGTAGGCCAGATCACCACTGACAGTGACACTGCACTTACCGTCCTTCTCCTCTTCCACTTCAGCTTCACCACGTGCGAGAGTTATAGGTGACTTGTCAATTGCGCGCGCGTGCGACATTCAAAATATTTTCAGTACTGAATGGACTAAATACACATCTCGCCGTCTGAAAAGCATAGAATTACAGTTTCAGCCAAGCTGTCCAATATCGTCGACGAATCATATAAATTCGTCGACAAAATCCAGTTTTAATTGCGATTTAAATTTAGATCTCGACGAAAAAACAAAATTAAGACCAACACTAATGCGGACACATATATTGGCCCGCTCTGCTGCGGTTTGGGAAGCCTGACGTCTCGGTGGAGCAAAACCGGAGCAAAACTACTTTGCAACGCTCGACGTCACGCCGTTCCACTCGCTGGCTACTCTTGAGTGTCCCAAGGCGACAGTCGAGAAGTGAACGCCCGTGACGCTGAACTTTGAGCTCAGCGGCTTTCTACTGAGTAGCCACTCGTTCAATCTGCGTGCAGGTCATCAAGTGGACTCGTCGTTTGACCACCCCGTTACGTATTCACCAATGGCAGACGATGGCGCCAAAATTTTGGCGCCAACAAAAACCCACACCCGCCCTCAAAGTCTCTACTTCATTTCTCAATCAGCACATTGAAGAGGGTGAGCACAATGGATTAGTTTTCAGCCAGTGAGGTTCGACTAGCTCGAAGGCTTGCTACAGAGCGCCGCCAGTCGATGTCGATGTCGATGTCAACCATCAGATGCGAGCGAATGGACCACGCTCTCAGCGGCGTCCATTCCGCGGAACTGTTCATGCGCAAGTGAATTGTCTACGATGCCAACCTTGGCGCTGTGACGGAGGGCTCTCAAAGAACGAAATCTGCGGCGCACGGCTTTGGGGAAACATATGAAGAATCCAGAATCCCAGCTTCGATTTTGGGAAGGGGCAAGTACCGGTATGGCGTCACAACGTACGTGACGTGTGCTTTCTATGTGTCTTTTAAAATTAAAAAATAAAGTATGCGTTTATTTAATTTGATTAATACTTTGTAGTCCCAAAGCCTACTTAAGATTTACGAAGCTCAGGTCGGAGTTGAAGGGGTCTGGATTCTGCGTGAGCTCCGTCCGGAAAACCTTAGCAAGCTGCTCCAAATCGAACACATGGTACGTAAAGAGCATTTCAGATGCAATGCTTAGGCTTTTCTTTAATGCTGAAGGACACCAGCATACGTCGGACGTGCACCCCAGGGAGGCCAGGGGGAGGAAGGCATTCCGAAGGGCCACGGAGACCAAGGCCTAGACGGCGACTTCGTGTGGGGGCTTCCAGATCGACGTATAAGTGAGATTGCAAGACAAGTGAAGCCAGCCGAGGCTGGAAATGGTAAAGAACAAGAGAATGATGATGATTTGCATGCTGCAGGCGAGGACCAAGATTGGCTTGACGCGACTGGCGTCCCATTCATCAGCGACAGGAAGGGTAATACCGAGCGCCGAGAGGTCGTGCGACTCGATCATGGGTCGGAACCCTTCTTCCGCGTCTTTGAGCATTGCATGAACGCCATGGTCGAGCGTCGGAGGGTGGCGTGGGATGCAGCCGTCCTTAAGATTCTCCGGACTCGACATGCAGTGCACCAAAACAGGGCGGCGGTGACCCGACTTGCCAGAGTGGAGAGAGAGAGGGCTAATGGACGCAAGAGGACAGCGCGCAGCTACGCTAATTACCAGGTATGCCCGCCAGTAGCTTTATCTAACTATTGCCAGCGCTTAAGGACTAATGACAAATTACAAGTAGTTTTTAATTCCCACTGTATCCATGTGTACGCTCACTAGAATGAATACACTAACGACGTTGCAGGCGATAAGGTAATCGGGCAACATATTCCTTTTTTGCAGGTTGCCATATCATCCAAGATGGCGAATGGGCCTTAGCTGTCCTCGGTGGAGGTTGACTCCGTCGAGCAAATGGACAACTAAGGTAAGGATATTATAGAGATCTGCGGCAAAACCACGCGATCACTCTGCACCATCAACAAAGTTTAAAAAAAAGTCGTTTTTCTCCGACAGAACAGCCTCACCCATCGCAGCCCCCAACGACAACGTCTTCGCTCACAGGGCAACCGCAATCGAAGTCAATAACGAAACAAGGTGACCTTAGACATGGTAAACATTAGCATTCAACTTACTTAATCGCTTTACGTGATACGGCCTTGAAGCAACCCATTCATCGCGTCTCCGACGACGCGTCGCGTGACAGTTGGGGAAAGGCCAGAAGCGCGGTGAGATAATGGAACTGACTGGAATGTCCAAACGCTTCTATCAAAAGGCCGTGAAGAGGCTCAAGCTGAAAGTGCAACGGCGAAGCCACCTGAGGAGCCGGAGGTTGCTCAGGGTACTGCAATCCCAGCTCTACAACTCGCTCCGCTTCACCCGCAAAGCGCCCCGGTGCTACATCAGCAACCACTCTGTGCTCCGGCACCCCAATAGCAGTACATCACTCCAGGCCCGCATCAACATCTCGCTTCAGCACTCCAGCACGTTCCCCACGCTCCAGAGTTGCAGTACACTCCCCACGGTAGCACCCCACCACAATAATCACGCTCCAAGGAGCAACTAGCAGCAACATCACGCTTCAGCTATCCAGCAGCAGTACACTCCTCACGCATCAATGCCCCAGGATTCGTACTCATCCCAGGACGTTTAAACGTCCTTCCAGCCATATAATTCGCAACATGCAGCATGCTCCACCCTGTTCATGGATTTGACCTCTATTGCGACTTCGTATCGACGGCGACTATATTCTCGCAGCTCTGAGCGCGGAGATCCAGCGTCTCCGACGCTCGGAGCTTAGCCGTTGTAAGAGAGAAGATTAAGGCGTTAGTGCGATATCACAATGTAGTAAGCCAGATCCGCCGCGCCAAGCATACTGCGGCGGTGCACAGCGAAGATGGTTTATGACGCAGCGACCACGCAGGACCCTCCCTTCTTTCTACATGCGACGTCCACTTCTTTTTGCTACAGTCAAGTCCACCGTATTTCAACCATCAACTGCAATTTCTTTTAGTTCTTCGTGTTCTCCTCGCTTATCGTTGCTGATGCAAAAGTGAGCATACGAAGGATCGTGTCGGCAATCACTTTAGTCCGAAACACATCTTTCTCGAAGAAGAGCTTCATGAGAGCTTCAATGTACATGTACATTGCTGTGTTTTAAGTACTTAGAAACCTCTTCTAGTGGCACTTCACAGGACGTGGCGCAGCTGGCACTGGAGTAAATTCTCACAACTCCACCGTGATAGCAGCTCCATGATCCACGAGCAGATTCACTTCTACTTCCTTGCACGTCGTTGATTTAACCATCGACGCAATGATGCACGTGCTGTCACCGAAGATTGTACGAAGCTTGCAAAGCTGAACCTGTTCAGTGTCACTTAATGCGCTATTGGCAGACTTCACGTCGTCAGAAACGAGGCCCAATTGTTTATCATTCCAGCATTCACTCACTCGAGCTTTTATAGGTGACCGGAAGGTAAGCGTGAATGTTGCACGTAGAGCGTGTGGATGCCAGGTACCGTGATGTTTTGCCTCAGAATTCAAACAGCGCTTTTTGCCAAGCACGATTATCTAAAGCTGCCGGGTTGATAAACGCGAAGAGTGTCCGCACACGGACAGCGACCATGTTTGCAACTTGCTTTATGTCGGGAAGAATTGACTGTCACACTTTCGATAGGAAATCCAGCTCGAATGCAAATATTCAGAAACTGTAACTCGAATATTTGTGACTGAAAAAACAGAAACCAGAAAAAAAGAACGGTTACCGGTATGTTCCATACACAGGAGATGAGAGAAAAAAAGAACATTAATGTGGTACACATCCTGATTTTGCGTGGCTGCATAAGACAACAACCTCTGCAGGGATCAAGCAAAACGTTTCGACACTATGGGCGGCAATCTCTCCATCGTTTGTGGACTCGGAGCCAGCGACAGCGACCCGCAATTGGTTCGCTCCCTGTATTATTCTGTCGTCGGTCTTGCTGTACAGCAACTGAATATTGATCTCTCCTTTACATGCAGCACTACCAGAGGAAAGACTTTGCACGGAGTTTCGACCAACCGACAAGCAGTCGCGGGCGCTCAATTTCGTCCGCCACGGACTGCTCGGTGGCCTCCATCTTGTCCAACCCAGAGCAACTCGTTCCGGACGCCTATATGCCCAAGGACATCCAGGTTCTATCTCAACGTCGACAGCGCAATGGCCACCATCACCACATGGCGTCGCGTTCGTCCTTCGGCTTTAGCGGCAAGAACTCGTCTAGAGTCAGTAGCTCCTCTTCCAAGGGCTTGAACTCTGTGCGCTTTGCTGGTAACAACGCAGCGGATGAAATCCCGTCCAGTGTGAACAAGAAATACAACTTTGGCATCAAGACGGCGTCCTCCAGCTTCGGCTACAGCGATGACGAACCCACGGCGAGTCGAGGTGTGGATAGCAGTCGCCTTTCGATGCAAGAGCTGCGAGTTAAGTGAATGAAAGAGGGGAATAGGACCAAGTAGGTGTATGAAGTAGGGGTAGCAATGTACTAGTAGCGATAGATAAAACCAGTGTGACGTATGAACAGGCAAGTGTATTTGCTAGCAAGCATCTAGCGTGTCATCTACTGTAATGTGTTTCTAAGCGTCAAAGTCATTTCTTAACAGCAGTCTTGAGCTCCTTGACCTTCCGTCGGCACTCGCGATACGCCTCGCTCTCCTTTTCACACTCCTCGCCATCGCGCAGCCCCCCGCTCTGCGCGGTCTTCGCTTCCACGCACCTGCGCACGTCGATATTGTCAGTTACATTGATCAGGTCTAAGTCTCCTCTCCTTTACAGGATTCCATCACGGCGTCTCCTCCTTCAGGAGCAGCAGCGTGGCACTCACTTCACGTAGGTTTCCATCTCGCCCGCGCACGGGTTTGGCTCGGCTGGCTTGGATAGTTCGGCGCCCATGCTGGCGTTGGCAGTGATGGCTTCCTGACCTCAGGACTCGCTGTTACTTCCGTAACAGTGTTTCTTACGACACAAGCAGAAAACGGCCGGGGACAAAGCATTTTTCGCGTCGACCCCAAGATGCGGGTTGAAGTCGTGCGAGCGCCAGGGCCATTGAACAGGCCAGCGCTAGCTGAAGCGATCGATACACTCGGCAAAAAGTCAGCTACTGTACGTCCATCCTCTGCCACCCATCGCGCTACAGTACCGACACTAACAACTACGATGGGCTATCGCCATTGACACCCCACTGGCGATCGGTCTAGGCCCAAACTCTCTCCCATGAAATCACCTCCACCGATCTCTTTGCGACGTCCACAGCAACAGAACAGCAACAGACACTGCTGCTGGCCATCAATGATGACGATGGTGCTGTCATGGGTTTCCTCAAGACCGGCGTCAAACACCTGTTCTACCTAGTAAAAACAATGTAGCCATGTCCCGACGATCACCATGCAGGAGACACTGACGAGCTGTGCTTATACACAGAACCCTAGAGGCGAGTACACTGAAATAGATCCAATCTGTGTCCTCGATTTCTACGTGGACGAGGTCTGGCAACGTCGCGGCGTCGGGTTGCAGCTCTTCCAGCGTCTTCTCCAGGAGGAAAACACGACGCCTGCTCAGCTAGCGTACGACCGACCGTCTCCTAAGCTATTTGCCTTTCTGAAGAAACACGTCGGTCTGACGGAGTATTTCCCCCAACCCAACCGATTCGTAGTGTTCGATGCGTATTTTCAATCGCGTGAGTAAAGGGAAAATAAACTCTTGGCTCGGTTTATTAATCACTCTCTGCACTAAGCTCACTGGCCAAGAGAGGCGAGAAAAGCCTCGACTTTCGTATCTGCATCACTTGGATTCTCGGCTGTAGCCTGGTCGAACCGCGCTTGGATCTGACGCCCAGCAAACCATCGCCCGTCCATCACTTTCAGACACGCGATAGCTGCCTTGAGCTCCGTGAAGCGAACAATGACTGAGCCATCGGCCACAACTTGAACGTGCTCTACAGTTCCGTGTTTGCTGCACTCCGAGCGCATGTCTTGTTCCAATTCGTCGAAGAATTTGGCATCGCTGCCTTCAAGTGGATCCCAAATATGCTCGAGGATGATCGAGCACGACGGTAAATCCAGCTGCACTAAGTTATCTACTGAAGTAACAGGTGTTGTTGCTTCCACTTCAGACGAAGTTTGCACGACCTTTGGCACTTGAAAAGCAACTTGACTGTTTTCCTTGCTGTCTTCGTTTCCTTTGCCTGAAAAAGTTGCTTCTGTTGCCCTGTGTGATTCTAAAAATTAGTTTCTTAGCTACCTTCACGCAAAAAAAGAAAATATTTACGTGATGACGACTCCCGGCTTGACTTCGAAATGATTTAGCTGCGTGGCAAGGTACGAGACGCGAATCAGCACTATGCGTTGAATGTTGCATGTAATCCACCCACTAAAACTTGGGATCCGACTAGACATTGAAGTAACATGGAGCAACGAGGGAGTACGCTAAGCTTTACCCTGTCAACGGCCTTGAGCATTGCGGCTCGCGAACTGAAGGTCACTACTGCGTCGCCCTTGAGGCCTCCTTTCGCGTCTTTGTAAAACTTGATACGCCGCACCTTGCCCAGTTTGTTGCACACACCCTCTGCAGCACACCGTCAGTCTTTATAGCTCTATGCATGAAGTAGGACAACAGACTGCTGACCAAGTTGTCTGCACGCCATGTACGTTGTGAGCCCCGTTATGTAGACGCTGCTGTTGCCTTTCGACGCTGGTGTAGATCGCTTGGCAGCGCCGAGCGCGGAGGACAAGAGCTCGTCCGCCGCTCGAGAAGCCTTGCGCTCATCCTGTCTGTAGCCCGACGAGCACGTTCAGGACCAGCGAAATGCGGAAATAATCGAGGTAAAGCGCTTACTGCTGGATGTACGCGAGGTTCTTGGCGCGGGCGCGCTCAATGCGTTCGCGCTCAGCATCCATGGCGTGTTTTTCTTTTCTGGCTTTCACAATATTTGCATTCAGATAGATTTTGTCAGTGATTTTTGCAAATACCGGTATTTACAAAATGGCTCAATGTCTGCTCGCTATTAAATAATCTCCTTATTTCAGTGAATATTTGAGACTGCGTCAAACAAAATGATACTTAGAGCATCTCCAGCGGTTAGACTTATTTGCAAGTCCTATTGAGACGGATGAGACCTCAATTTTTAGGATAGAACTCCTGATTGCATCTTGTCTACAGCGGTTTGGAACTCACCGCGGCTTAACATTTTTTTGTCCAATCAAACGACGATACAAAAGATCTCTCTAGATACCGCACTATCAGAAATACACGAAGGAGTGAAGCACTGCTGGCGACGTCAAGTATGGACGACGACTCGGAAGAAGAGTACTATTTCACCTACATGTTGCCTGAGGGCGGGGTGGACAACACGAGCGCAGTGCGGGGCAAACACGGCGGGTCCACCAAAGGCAGGAGAGCAAATAAAGAGCGGGATCGAGAAATATGGGGTGAACGCCTAATGAGTGACTACTTTGACGACAACCCAGTCTACGATGATGGTATGTATTTGAGTAAACGACATGTTCTCCTTTAAAACTGTCCATTAATGCTCATGGCTACTCGTTCTGATGCAGATGACTTCCGCAGGCGATTTCGTATGCGTCGTAACCTCTTTGAGCTCATTACCATTGCCCTGGTTGAGGATGAAGAGTGCAGCTACTTCGTCCAGCGTAGTGACGCAACTGGACGTGCTGGTTTCCTACCAGAACAGAAGGTGACGTGTGCTTTACGGATGTTGGCATATGGAGCATCAGCAGATCAATTAGATGAGTTGATTCGTATGGCTGAGTCCACAGTGTTGGAGACCTTAAAGCTGTTCTGCAAAAATATTATCCGATTATTTGGTCCAGAGTATCTTCGAAAGCCGACCAAGGATGACTTGAATATACTTCTTGCCGAGAATGCTGAACGCGGATTTCCGGGTATGATTGGTAGCTTGGACTGTATGCACTGGACATGGAAGAATTGTCCAACGGCATAGCAAGGAGCTTTTCAGGGAAAAGAGAAGTGTTCGACGGTGATCTTGGAAGCCGTGGCTTCTAAGTCGTTATGGATTTGGCATGCATTCTATGGCATGCCTGGCGCCAACAATGATTTGAATGTACTCGAGCGTTCACCTTTGTTGAATGACCTGGTAAACGGTGTTGCTCCCAGGATTTCCTTCACTGTGAATGGTGCGACGTACAATCAGGGATACTATCTTACAGATGGAATTTATCCTGCCTGGGCAATATTCCAATCCAGTATCAGTGCGCCCCAAGGCAACAAGCGTAGATGTTACGCTGCCCAGCAGGAAGCCGCTCGCAAAGACGTTGAACGCACATTTGGAGTATTACAACAACGCTTTCGAATTCTTGCCCTGCCCTGTAAGCTATGGAGTGTCGATGCAATGAATGATGTAATGTTAGCATGCATCATCCTCCATAACATGATTGTGGAAGACGAGCAGCGAATTACCTCGCTAAATCATCAGTACCTGTTTGAAGATGAATGGGTCAGCCCGGCAGAAGTTGGTGTACCGGATGAGTGCCCAGTCGCAATGATAGCAAACGCGATGCAAGTGCTTGAAGACGAAGAGCTTCACTATGAATTAAAAACGGATTTGATCGAACACGTATGGCAGTGCTACGGTGATCTCGGCTAGCAAAACTTTCTCTGGATCCTGTGTAGTAGGTTTTTAAGCTAGACTACGTGCAGAAGCCCAGCTAAATTAAAGTACTGATTTGATTGTCAGCAACTTCACTTTCTTCACCCTCGCCATTATGTAGTCCTGCCACGTGCGGTGCCATGAACGAACGCTCAGGTGTTTTTAGCTCTTCGCTTTGTTGTAACTGCTGGCGCTCTTGTGAAACAGCAAGTGTCTTCCTCATGTTGGCGAGGATGGTTTTTCGCTGCATAGTAAAATATTCCTGTGATTCGTAGCTAGCGGGATTCTGCAAGAAGATAGATATTTGCTCCATCACAGCGACCTTCTTTTCTGTGGCAGCAACGAACCTAAGGTGAGCTTCACCCCCAATCGTTTGAGCTCCAGCACTTCCATGACTCTCATTAGTTTTGGCGTTAGCCGCCTTTGCTGCTTTGCGGCCTTCTGGTCTCTCCAAAGACGCAACGTCACTTGTTCCTCGCTTGACTCCAATAGATGAGGCCGAAGTGATCTTGTTGGTCCACTTGGGCTTGTCCTTGAGCTCCTTCCACGCCGCAAGAAACTCGAACGGCTGTTTGCGTCGCTCTTGGTAAACATTCAACGCGGCGTCCAGATACATAGCGTCATTCCATCCTGATCGCTCTCTGCTGGTGACCTTCGCATATATACCGCAGAACTTCGTTACTTCTGGCTGCAGTTTCTTCCATCGCCCCATTATCGCGACCTCCGTTTGTGGATCCTTGTCTTCTGGTCTCTTGTTTTCCAGCCAGTGGCTGTACAAGCGACTGCTGAACGTGCTCTTCTTCTGTCCTGCACCACGCACTGCGTCCTCCGATACCTCCAGCCACGACAGGCAAAGCTGTATGGTCTCGCTCTCACTCCACGCTAAGCCCTTCCCCATCGTACTGCAAGTTTCCGTGTCGGTGCTGAGATCAAAGGTTTCCTTTCGTTAGACTGAGGTTTTATATAAAGTCCTTGGACCAGAAATATAAGTCTTCCTGAAGTTAAAACTAATAATACCACCAACGGGTGGGGCAAAAAAAACTTGTCGAGAGATTTATTTGCGCAACTTTTGGGATAAAACCATCGTTAGAGCCTACCGCTGGAGATGCTCAACCATTTAGAGCTATCGAGATAATCGAGCTTAAAGTTGGCCAATCGATTTTCGCACCTTATCGAAACTGTGTTTTTTTCTATTGTAAACCTCCTTATTCAATTGCTTTTAACAAGGGCTTTTAAATAACACTTGGATTTTTCAAATTGAAAAAAATATTGAGCTCACAACACGCGTCATGTCGAGGGCCCAAAAATGGAGATAATATTTTTGAGCGACTACAACTTCTTCAGTTTTAAGCATTCTGTAGCTTATAAGGACTCGACTGATAGAGGAGACGCCCGCTTTCGTTTAGAGTGCTTAAATCGTGATTCGTACTTTGGTTCGTAAGTATTTGTTTTGCGTGGTCTCACATGCTCATAAATTTTAAATTTTTTATGAGCATGTGTGGGCTTTGCAGATGGAATGTCCATCGAACATGGTCGTACATAAAAATACGCGTAAAAATGAGATGGGAAGAGGCAGGCTTCGATTTGTTTTATAATACACTGCGCGACAGATCACATCGGACACCCACTTACAGTGCTCTAGCGCCGTCAATACGGCGAGTTAGGTCGTACTATTTAGATATATGCGAGTTGTTGACAGTAGGAAAAGCCTAGTAGCGCTAACGAGCGCAGATTCGGCCGCTGAGGGGGACCTCCAATACAACTTTCCACTTTCAGCTCCACGACAGATCAGATCGGACAGTACAGACTATACAAAAATCAAGTATATTTTAAAGCTGAAAATTTGTGGCTGCAGCGCGTGTACCTGGTGGGTGGCTGCCATGAGCGTGGAGTGCATGGCTCATTCTAAAAGATGCCGAAGACCAAGAAGCCTCCATCGACCGAGCGAGAGAGGGGGAGGATTGACGGCCTCTTTGAGGCTGGAGATTCCAAGCGCGCCATCGCGCGCAGCCTCGGCCGCAGCCCCGACACCATCTGCCGTGCACTGGCTCCCAAGCCTCCACCCAAGGCACGCAAGACCGCGAAGCCCCCCAAGCGAAGCGGATCGCCCCCAGCACTGACGGACCGCGAGGTCAGGCGTCTTGTGCGCACTGCATCGCGTGGCGAGCACTCGGCGGCGCAGTTGAAAGCCGAGTTGGGCCTCGACGTGCACGTGAGGACCATCCAGCGCGTCCATTTGAGGGTCGACTGGCTGGTCTACACGAAAATGGTTAACACGCTTCCGCTGAAGCCGGAAGACATGGCCGCACGCTTCACGTGGGCAACGGAGAAGCTGTTGCTGAAAGACGCCGGGTCCTATTGGGATTCCATTATCTTCTCTGATGAGAAGAAATGGAACCTCGATGGGCCCGACGGCTTTCAGCAATATTGGAGGGACTTACGCCGACCTCAACGAAGGACCAAGAGAAGGCAAGCAGGGTGAGGATCGCTAATGGTTTGGGCTGCATTTAGTGGGCGGGGAAAGTCTCAGCTGGTAACTTTTGAATGGGAAGCAGAACCTCGGACGACTATGTGTACACGTTGTCCGAGTTATTGCTTCCCTTATGCACATGCCAACTACGGTCTAGACTATATCTTCCAACAAGATAATGCCAGCATCCACACCTCAGCCCGCACTAAGGACTTTTTTGCGGACCAGGAAGTCAAGGTGCTCGACTGGCCGTCTAAGTCACCCGACTTAAATCCTATTGAAAACCTATGGTCAATAATGAGCCGGCGCGTTTACAGGAACGGTAAGCAATTCGACAAGGTGTGTGGTCTAAAAAAAGCCCTATTCGAAGCTTGGAATTCCATCCCTCTCGCTTTGCTGCAGTCACTGGTAGAGTCAATGCCGCGTCGCTGCTTAGCGGTTGTTGCCGAGAAAGGAGATAGAACGACTTACTAAGGAGAAAAAAACTAGATTTTTGTATAGTCTGTACTATCCGATCTGATCTGTCGTGGAGCTGAAAGTGGAAAGTTGTATTGGAGGTCCCCCTCAGCGGCCGAATCTGCGCTCGTTAGCGCTACTAGGCTTTTCCTACTGTCAACAACTCGCATATATCTAAATAGTATGACCTAACTCGCAGTATTGACGGCGCTAGAGCACTGTAAGTGGGTGTCCGATGTGATCTGTCGCGCAGTGTATCTGTGATCGAATTTCCACTTCAATACAGCAAAAAGGGCCGATTTACAGAATATCGATGCGGATTTGGTGGTTAATCAGTCCCTATTAATAGCGCTCGATTTGGTTGTCTACACATTTGCCAATTCAAACCGGCGAGATTGTAATAGTAAAGAGAAATGACCCAAAATAAATTTTCATTTCTAATAAATATTGTTTTGTGAGTATTCAGTGTAGAGCAATGCAGATTTAGTGTAAATCAAATATTTACTGCTTGCCTGTATCACATAGTTTCTTGCTGATGAGAGACAACATGCTGATTCAAACTGCGAAGTCAAATCACACATCTCTTGCATCTGCGCAAGTGTATACAAGCCGTTTTCCTCTAAGTACTCCACTACATGTAGCGCCTCCTCCATCTCAGGCGTGCACTTAGTGCACGCTGCGCGCGCACCACCTCTGGTCTTGACGTTCGGTGTCCCACGCTCGGCAATCTTGCGGGCTGTACATGTACCTGTAGTGGCTGGAATGCCGTTACAGGCCGCCACCAGGGCCCTGTCTCGTCCGCTCGTGTAAGCGTCTAGCACCCGCGTTCGGGCGGCAAGCCCGTGCTTCGGCTCGCTTGGCTGTACTGGCTCGAAGCCAGTTGGTTAGCGCTACACTAATTTTACATTGCTCTAAGGTCGCTTTTTCAAATATATTTTCAAAAATTGTTTGTTACATTAGTTACTTCAGTCTATTTAGCTATACAATCTCGCCGGTTAGGATCGGCAAGGGTGTAGCTTGATCGATTTGTCTTTTTTAGACCTTTACTTAATTAAACCCTTATCTGCTCAAAACCGAGCATCAGACTAAGTGAAAAAACAAAAGCATTAAAATGCACAATTAATATTATATTAAGGTGTGCAACCAGTGTCGTGTCATTTCTGAACCCATTTCTCGCTGGTCAATATCTTCCTGTAAAAGGATAGTCATATTTAAAGGTTCATAGGTTTTGAAAGCGCTTGCTTTGGAGAACTTGAAATCGTCTCTGTCGCGTCGCAGCGAATGAGATCACGCGATAAATACACAAGAGCAAAATGTAGCGAAATTATTTAGTAACCAGTTTCGTGTCACTCTTAAACTAATACCCAGTATGGCTGTAACCAATATCGGCAGATCGCCCCTAAGACCGCTTTGTGGTTAGGTTAAGGCTGAAATTATCATTACAATCATCTGTTAACGGTATTGAAGCGAAGGACCAAAACGGGTGAGACACACTTCCTAAAACTAGCGTTGACAGCTCAGTCGGTTAACGGCAGTGTTTAGTGAAGGCCAGTGAATTTGGTGTGGGTTCGAGTCCCGAAGCAGGGTACGTCGCCGTGCAACTTTGCACAGTTAATTCTCCGCGCTGAATGGTAAGTATATGCAAATATATTGTATCTGCACTGGAATCGGCTAATAGCTCTCAGCAAATGTGTCTGTATATTTATTAGCCTCCTAGAGCCTCTACAGTCCCCTGTGCGGCGTCTGTAATTTTGCGTCTCTTCTTCTGCTACGTTTTTTTGTGCTTTTCTGCTCCAATTCATCCAGCCGTTTAGCAGTCAAAATGTAACCGCCAACAGAGGCCGTCTTTCTTCTTCTTATCTTCGTCGCTGGCTGCGGCAGCGTCAGAATCTCACGGCGAATTGCCAGATCCACCATCAACCAGGCCGCAATCCGGAAGTCCGTCGGGCTTCCATTTCGTGTGTAGATCGCCATGCGCTGGGTCATCCTCACTAGCGATAGTGGATACAACCCACACACATGAAAGCATGACGATACGTTGGTGGAAAAATGACATCTCGTCCAGGCCAAACAGGAAAATCTTACCGCAGTAGTTTTGTCAATAGAATACCCTCCCTCAGGATCCTCATCGATAAACTCATCACAAGAGCACGAAGTTTACCCTTAAATGATGCGAAAACAGCCACACCAAGAGGCTGAAAAAGGTGTGTTGCGTTTGCAGGCAGGCAAACCATTATAATCTTTAGCTCGACTGCTTTCTCGACGATAAAGCGCGAGTAATGTGAGGTATAACCATCCATTACCAAGCGGAGAGGATGTTTTACGGTGGCTGGGACAGACTTCTAAAAATACACAAGCCATGACTCAAATGAGGTCAAACTTATGAAACCAGACGGGGTCGCCGTGATACCAGCACCAGGTGCGTCACAGCTATTTAGAATATCCAGCGGAACGGTTCTTCCAGGAACAATGAAAACAGGCGGCACAACGAAGCCCGAGGCACTTCCACAAGCGATAATTGTCATGTGAAAACTTGTAGTTGAAGCAGAAGTTTACACGTTTTTAGAGCGTCGAACGGAAACAACACGTTTTCCTTTCGACGCTTTGTAGAATGCGGTTTCATCGACGTAAAAGACGCGATCAGTTGTGACACTATTTTCGATAATGGCCTTTGCCATTGAGCTAAATAGCTGGTGAACGTCGGTATAACCGACCGTATTGCGAGCTTTGGACAGCATTTGAGCGGAGTGATTCGTGAGTTCGGGGAGACGCTCTCTGAACCGCGTGTACCACCCTCCAGTGACAGCCCTACCAGCGACCAGCTCAGATATTTCAACCGCTTTCTTCATGATCTCGGCACGTCCTACTGGTTAACGTACAATTTGGCGCCCAGCGACCCATTCTTGAATTGCATCCTCAGCCTCTGTCGGCAGCAGAGGCTTTGGACCTCGTCGCTGTCGGGTAACGTCACTCTTTGCGTTACTGACCCACTTCCTCAGCGTGCTCCCTGAAATGTTGAGGTCCACGGCAACCGCTGGCTGACCGCCTTGGACACGCTGAGCTGCACAGTCGAGGGCTTTCTGGCTGTAAGATGGCGCCATTTGTAGCAATGATGGCAAAAGGAGCGGTCTCGAGTCAAATCACAATAGATTTGCTATTGTGAATGACAGGTTCACAAGCCCTTAGTGCTTTTACCAATAGCGTTACTTGTTTTTAAATAGCCTGCTCTGATTGGGCATGCTCCTGACTCTACAAAACTGGTTTTCGATACGAAACTAATTGCAGACCTTACTTTTCGCCGCAGATTACATCTTAGTAATGAAGTAAACATTGCAAAAACTTCTGTTGACAAACAAACTAATATGTCACCTGCCTTTAGATATGTAGATGTAGTAGACGTGCCCATTTCGAATTGCGGAAGTAGTAGAGGAAGTGGCAACCCGGGATCACGTATATTTGATATTGGACTACCAATGTATGACTGCTTAACTACACACGCAAGTACACAAATCGGCAATATCCTCAGCCAGTCATAGCATAGTATACGTGCTTACGCATTACAGGGCTCCGAGTAGATTTGCTATCCGTCGCCTCGTCCAGTTGCTCATCATTTAAAATCGGTACACATTTACGAGTGCTGGTTCTATCACGATGTTTCTTCCTCGCTTACTGTCTGTTCTTGAAATACATCACGCTTAAGGTTGGCTAGCTGAAGTACATACAGTGACAGATAAAACCGGCAGCGCAAAAGCCGGTATTTCATAGCCGCTTCATAGTAGTGGCAATTAATATCCAATCAAATTTAAAAAAAAAACAATCATCTTATCGTAAAAATTGAATGGTTACGGTAAAACAGATCAGCTCGTTACCTACTACTCTGTTCCTTCTCAAATCTAACGCAATGAGCGAGCGCAGAAAAATGCATAATATCATTGGCTATTATTAGGCTTAAAATATAGATTTTCTATTTACTAATTTGTGACTACCAGCTACATAATACGAGTCAGCTGTGCAGATAAGCATCATGTGCTGCCGTCTGGTCGCTTCTGTAAAAAGTAGTAGTGTGAACGTTCAGTTGAACCTCTGATTACGACTGGTGCGTTCGCGGGCGGTAAAGTTCAGCTGAAGCACCTCGGAACCTCCGTGAACCTCCGCGGTAGTTTATACTTAAAAATTCTATGCCGTCTATTTTCAATAAAACTCTCAACAGGTTTAGCATGAAGACATGTACGAGCATTCCAGCATTCGCTGACGTCTCCAACAGCGACACGAGGTTGGACACCACCGACTTGTCCACTGTCACCATGTCGCTGATGGCTTGCCGTTCGACGCGTCCAACTCCTTCGCGTACATCGTGCTCCGTCAGGTCGCCGCCCGACGTGCTGCCTCCCACAGGACCTGCATACCACCATTACCAATGTACGCCAGATGAGGAGCGCACTCTTTCGTGTCCGTGCCGTAAATAGAATGATGTTCACGCTGGATGCGGCGTTCAAGGTGAAGTGGATCAGGTGCACCTTGGCGTTGTCGCCGTTTTTGCTGGTCTCCGTGGCCCAGTACTTCTTGCTCGACGCACTCGAGTCTAGCGCGATGTCCAGATTCGACGCCGCCACGACTGATGTGGAGGTTGCTGTCCGGCTTGCAGAGAGCTGTGGTGCTGGAGTAAGACGACTACGTGGCTATGGTGACTGAAGTTTCACCGAATGGAGACTTATTCGACCTTGTGGCTCCCGCGTCACTCATGGCGACGAGATGGAGATTTGTTCCTCGCACTGGATCTTTTATCTGTTCGGAAGCAAGATACCGCTGAAGTACGTCTGAAACTGGAGATATACGTGACTCGAGTTTGTGAAGAGGAAAGTGGATACGCGCATCCGCTAGTCATAGTGGCTATTGCCCGATTGGCTTTTCGATCAAGTCGAGCTAAAACGTCGGATATTCAGCACAAATTGCTGGATATTTTCGCTAAACTTTACTCAGGAGCTGCTACTTTATGGCTGAATGAAGACGAAGCGCAGCATATCCAGTCAACGGCTAGTGTATCAACTGGATCCGGTTCAATTATCTCTGGGCCAGCGTCTGTGGAGGATAAATGGAGTCTTTGAAGAGTCAATATGGCTGTCGCTCGGAATCTATGGAAAATCTACTGAAGTTGGTGGGCCTGAAGAAAGTGAAGCAAGCTGCTGTAAATTTATTTATGAATGCAATGGCCTTACAGCAATTATCGGCCACGCAACGGAAGAAAAACTTGATGGGGTTCAACTACAGCGTTGTAGGGAAACCTGGTACTGGGAAGACGACAGTGACGCGATTGTTTGCTAATATCCTATATTAAATATCATAAGTGTTTTACTCACTATACCCTCCACACTTAAGGCGATCGATACACTTCCAATTTTCTGCAATGAAAACAAGATCTCGGACCATGGTAGCCTTCAGCGAGCTTCTCTTCACCGTTATGACGTTTCCACTTGTCGAAAAAGCACGTTCTGACGGAACGCTTGTCGCCACGGTCCCCAGCCACTTCCTCGCTAGTCTGCGCAAGTTGGGGTAGTCATCTCCATTCGCCTTCCACCACGTGAAGGGATTCAGGTCATTTTTCACGGTAACAATGCACTCTAAATAGCGAGTGAACTCCCTTTTGCACTCTGTTTCTAAATCTGTGGCTGCGATTCGAGAAATATTCGGCCCGAAGAGATGATGGATCATGTCATTCCGTTGCTGCTGCTCCGCTTCTTCGATGGGTGTTTGGTGACGGGGATCCGTTTGTTCAGGTGGTAGCGTTTCGTTTGCCAGCTGCACCATTGCCTGTACAAGTTCGTTGCTTGCATTTGGCTTGTCGATAGGACTTAAGTGAGACATCCACTTTCCTACACGCGGATCCAAGTACGCAGCCCACCTAAGCTCGCTTTTCTCCAAGTCCTCGAATCTTTTAACGTACAATGTTAGCATTCCCTTTCTGCAGTCGTTCACCATTAACACCGTTTGAGCCACGTACGCTTCGTCACCGGCTTCTGCCTCAAGACTGGCAAAGAGATCCGTCTTCTCCAAATGCTTTCGAATACCGGATAACACAGGGAGAACCAGCGGCATCGTAGGATAAGTTTGTCCACCTAGTGTTTCTGAGGCAACGGCAAACGGCCCCAGCAGAGCTCGCAAGCACTTTATAGTGAGCCATTCCTCGGCAGTTGGACGATATAATTTTCTTGCCACATCTTTGAACTCTCGGATACCTTCAGGATTTTTCAGGTACATGAAAAACTTCACTAGAGCTCCTTCCAACTCTATCATTCTTTGGAGCATTTTGCCAGCAACTATTCCATCTTGTGGCGCAGTCGACAATAGGCTTCTTAACTTCGTGATCTTTGACGCTGAAATGTTCAATTTGAAGAGCATTTAATCGGTTACAGCCCTTTGCTGACTTTCTAAAGTACACAGCAAGCGTCCGGAAGCGCTGAACAATTTCACGTACCCTATCCATCTCATTACGGTGAACCAACTCAATTGTGTCGTTTAAGAACTGCTCCATGTCATCGATTGCAACTTCGCGGAACCCCTCGATTTGGTTCCTGTCATCCACAGTCAGTGAAGCTTCTTCCTCATGTTCCACAACTGGTTCACTGCTTTCGGCAGCAACTTCAGCAGCCCAATCTGGCTCATCGGCGACACCACTCGCCCGTTTCTTCTTAATCATTGCCCCTCCAACGACTAGGTGCAGGCAGTGTGCTAGGCATGACATGTGCTCGACATGTAATAGTTCACCAGCAGCAACCATGTTTGTGCCTCCATCTCTCAAAAACCGGACACAGTAGAGCTTAGACAACTGCCATTCCTCCATAATTTGTTCAATCGCGTCTGCAATGGCGTTTCCATCATGAATGCCGGCCAGCTCTTTAACTTTCAGAGTCCAATTCTGAGGGCAAAATTCATCGTCCACGTAATGTATAGTCAACGAAATGTAGCTTTTCGTGTTTCTGGAAGTCCAAATATCACAGGTCATTGAAAAATACCAACATCCCTTCACAATGACATGTCGTACTCGCTTTCGATACTCCACAGCCAAAGCCACTATTTGTTGTGCGATCTTAGTTCGCTCAGGAAGCCTTATTTTGATTCCACAAATATCTTCGGTAATGTATCGAATAAATACGACAAATCCAGCATCTTCCACAATCTTCATCGGCCGAAAGTGCCGTGCGATCCACTCAGCAAGAAGAAGATTTACGCGTTTCTG